CACCCCACCCCGCCACCGCACGCGCCCCGCCCCCGAGGAGCGGGGAGAACGGCGGGCGGGGGATGCTAACTGCAATGCGGCTGTTGGCATCAAGTCGCCCGTCGCCTATCACCGCGAAACGCATCGCTGGCCACTAAAAGGAACAGCGCGAGCTCGTCCAGAAGCGCCGCGGTCGTGAGTAGGGGCGCCGCGGCGCCGCAGAACAGAGCGCCCCTTTCCCGCTTCCGCCCGCCTCCTCCCCGCCTAACAAATGAGGGCAGGGAAAGGCAGCGACGGTGAGCAAACTGGGCGGGAAAGGGGTTCGAGCCGAGAAGGGGCACGGGGCTGGAGAAGGGCAGGGGTCGGGAGGGGTCGGGAGGGGCCGGGTCGAGCAAAAAGAAGTGGAGGGAACAGAGAACGCGGAAAGAGGAGGGACCGCAAATTCTCCCCGCCCCGGTGCCCCGGGCGGTGCAATGCAGCCTAGCCGAGCGCCGTCGTGCTGCTCACTCGACATAAACATGAAAGCGTTCTAACGTGGGGAGGGGGAGGGGAGGGGTAGAGGGTTGTTCAGCCCTATCCTACTTGTGGGAACGAGGGTGAAGGGAAGGAGCGAGAGAAGGGGGACGAGAAGGAATATGAGGAAATGCTTAGCCGTGCTTCACGCAGATTGGTTGGCAAGCTCGGATTCCGGACCAAGTGTCGTATTTTGTCCTTTTTTGTGTTTCCCCTCCCGCTCCCGGCCTCATTCCCCGGACCGCCGGCCTTTGTGGGCGCGCGGGCGCCGCGAGGGGCGGCGAGGCGGTAACAAGCCGCAAAGCCCGGCGGCCCGGAGTCAAAAGGGAAAAGGGGAGGGACACTAAATAAAGTTCACGCAATGCGGCAGGGAAGGGCCAAAGAGAAGGGCGCGGGGCAAGGCCGGGGGAGGCCCTGGCGCGGCGAGACATCCGTCCCTTCGTCTTGTGACCTTGGGGTGGCGTCGCTGCCCCTCAGCCCTGGTAGACCTACCCCTACAGAGCCGCGGCCGCGGCCACCCCCGCGACCCCGACACGGCGCCGTGGTTCCTCCACCCCTTCCCCAGTCGTTGGCACGGTGGGCGCGCAGGCCTCGTCCGCAGGACGTGCTATAGGACGTGCTGCAGGGCCTGCCGCAGGAAGTGCCACAGGACGAACTGCACGGCCTGCCACAGGACGTGCCACAGGACGTGATGCAGGACCTGCCGCAGGACGCGCCGCAGGACGTGCCGCAGGACGTGCCGCAGGACGTGCCGCAGGACGTGCTGCAGGGCCTGCCGCAGGAATTAGGTTCCGCAGGGCGTGACGACAGGCCTGTCTGCAGGAATACGGGTGGTTCCCGGACGTGCTTGTGTGTGCGTGGCGTGGCGTGGCGCTTGCACCCCGGCATGGAGGCGGTGGCAGGGAGGCGCCCCCCTGGCCGCCGCCCGCCGCCCCGCTGTAAGTTTTGATGTATGGCGTGGGTTCATTTCCATGGCGTTGGCCGGGGACCGGGCCCATAGCGCCGGCGGGCGACGTCGTCGGCGACGCGGAGCTAACGTCTGGAACGGCCCCCGCCGGGATGGCATGCGAGAGTGTGTGTGTGAGAGAGAGAGAGAGAGAGAGAGAGAGAGAGAGAGCAGGCCGCTCCAGGCCCAGGCTCAGGCTCTCTCGCGCCCGGCCCTTGGCTCGTGCATAGCCTGTCGGACCGTTACCCTAAATCCCACAGCAACACCCTTCCCCCCTTCCCTCAACCCCCAGCCCCACCCTCTACCCCGCGGCCACCACCATACACCACGCGTTTCACCCCTTTGAGCCGCGCGCGCGCGCGCTTTTGGATGTCATCCAATTGGCGAACAGAAACGGCGAATGCGAGCGAGCAGTTGGACAGCCAGCAGGGAGTGGAGTGATGAATATTGATGGAGGGGCGGCTGTTTGTTTTTATGTCTCCCCTCCAGAGCGCCGCGCGGGCATCGCCACGCCTCCCCCGGCCCCGGCCTGCGCGCTGTCGAGCACACCGGGACCCCGGGCCGCCGCGGCCCCGCCGACACGCCGCCCTCCCCGCCGTTCGGCTCGAACCGGTCGCGTTATGACGGCACATTAAGATGACGGCAGAAAGGCGGCGAGGCGGACGCAACCCACGCAATAACCGCGACAGAGTGGCGGATCCTGGTGCAACCCCTCTACCGCTAGGTTTCCTCATGCCGGGGTTATTTCGTGGAGCAAATTGAGCAATCGCATATTTTGCCAGCAGCAATAGAGGCGGTAGGGGACCCCGCCCTCCTGCCCCAGGGAAAAAAAGGGGGCGATGCAAATATTTTTGTCCCTACTTACACACGGCGAGTTATGTGTGCTTAAGTGCTTAGTGTAATGCCCTAGGGGTAGGAAGCATTAGGACGATTCCCGCTCCCCCCCTCCCGGGCCCGCGTCACCGGGTGGCGTCCGCCCCCGCGGCCCTGCGGCAGCGGTTATCGGGGCGAGCCACGCGACGGAAGGGAAGGTCCGGCCTGCAGGCGATAAGCCCCGTGTTATCAGCGGGTGTTTTACACGGGCACTTGGGGCCCCACACGACGCGACGCGCGCCAAGGACAAGCTGATCCCCGCAGCACCCGCCCCGACACGCCCTCCCGGCTCTGGCTGCCGGCCAAGAACCAATCTGCCGTCCGCCACACCGCCTCTGGGCGCGCCCCTCCCACACACTCACCTTCTCGATGAGGTGCTTGCGGTTGTCTTCCAGGGCGAGGTTGGCCACCCTGTCGGCGAGGTCGCCGTCCCCGTCTTGGTCGCGCTCCTTGTCCTTGTCCTTGTCGCGCTCCTCGTCCTCGTCCTCGCCCGTCCGCATGCCCCGGTTGGCTAGCGCCCGCTTCAGGTTCCGCAGCGCCGACGCCTCCTCGCGGCGCCGCGACGGCGGCCAGTGCGCGCCCCGGGTCGGGCCGATGCCGCCGCCCGCCGCCATCTGACAGGGCACCGATCACATCTCGCGTCAACATAAGTAGAACTCGGAGTCTTTCATAATTTTGAAATCATCGTCGTGCCCACCTGCTGCAGCTGCTGTTGCTGCTGCTGGTACATCTGCTCATGCCGCTGCTGCATCTGACTGGCGATGGCCTCGAGCCGCTGGCTGGCAGACGGTCGCGCGGCCGGCGGTTGGTGCTGCAACAAAATTTCCATATTTATGTGGACTTTGCCTGGCTCAGTTGAGTGGTTCTCGACCCACACATAAGTATTCTGTAGCGGCTGAGGATCCTCCAACAAGTAAATACGTCCGTTGTTCCTCGGATTCATAACGCGATGAGCTTAGCGCCTGTGAGACACCGGATAGGCCAGCCCGCATTACTTGCATGCACGGCAGGCAAGTTTTGGCCTACCCGTCAGGCGCTATGAGAGCTGCTGTCATCGGTAGAACTTGGTATGTCCATGTCCGTAACGCAGAATGGGAGAGCGACGGACGTACTCTCTCGATGATCCCTCGTGTCGTGCCCCGTGTCATGTGCGTATGCGATGCAGCCCGCCCACTGCGTGCGGTACAGCGCGAGAGAGTCCAGTGCGCGCACCTGCACGTACTCGAGCAGCCGCAGCCGCGCTCACTAACAAGTATGTAAAGTAACGCACGAGTGCGATGAAGACTCTCACCTTTGGCGAGCGCGTCGACCGAGACACATCGTTGTCGAGGAACTGGAGGCGGCGCGGTGCGGAGCTGGCCGCGCTGTTGTTGTGCCTGCGCAGGATGCCCGGCGTGGCGCCCGCGGAGCAGTCGTCGGGGGCGGCCATGGCTCGACGGGGACCAGGGAGAATTTGGGAGTGGAGTTAGAGAGAGGGAGGGGGGAAGGCTAGTCCCAGTGAATCGGGATTAGGGGAAATAGAGAGACAGAGAGAGAAGGTGAGAGTGAGGACGAGAGGTCAACCGAAAGCCGGCGACAAGAAAAAGTGCAGCACGAAGACGAGGAGCAGCAGCAGGACGAAAAGAGAGAGGTGGTGGTGATGATGGTGGTGCGAGTGGCACGCGCGGCTAGCCCACCATCCCCGCGCTCCAGAGCGGCCGGACCGGCCCGAGGTGCCCGCGCCGCCCCGCGGCCCCCGCGCTGCGCCCCGTGGCCCGCCCCGCGCTCCGCCACGCGCCCCGGCCCGCGGTGGCGTGCGAGCGGTCGTGCGCCGCCCGGCCGGCCCTCGAGCCGTCGGGTCAGTCGTGGGCGCGCGCCCCCGGCGCTCCATGCCGACCGGGCCCGCGTGCTCGTCTAACCTGGGATGACATCGCGGCCCATTGCTGTGTCCCTCTCTCTACCGGCGCGGGCCCTGCCTGGCCGTCAGCGCCCGAGTCCTCGTCGAGCCCTCATGTCCCCGACGAGGACGCAGCGGTGTGCGGGCGAGCGCGTGTTCCACCAGAGGCTCTCGCGGCTCGCAGCGTTGTGACTCCGGCCAGCTCCGGTCCCGGACTGTGCCAATGCGGCATGGGAGGGCGAGCTCGTGCGAAGCCGGCCAGCCCCCCCACAGCCCCCCCTGGCACGTCCGCTACCCGCGCCGGGTGGGGGCGGGGCGCCTGGGGCCCCTTCCCACCCCTACTCCATGCGGTGCGGTACCTTCCAGAAACTCGGGACGCAATGGGACAGACCCCACAGCCCGTCAGCCCTGGGAATAAGATTCCCCACCCCCTCTCTTCCCTCAGTTTCCTCCTCACCCCCATCCCCGCGCCAACAGAAACCAGGTGTAAGAATGAGCCGTGAACTAGAAATAAAACTCTTTATTGTCACTTCATGTTTTTTTATACTGTAACCATGTAAAAAACTAATAACATTT